GTGTACTTTGTCTTGACTCTGACAAGTATCAATGGTACTAATATGTCCAGTGTACTTTGTCTTGACTTTGACACGTGTCGAGGGTACTAATATGTCCTGTGTACTTTATCTTGACTTTGACGTGTGTCAATTGTACTAATGTGTCCAGTGTACTTTGTGTTGACTTTGACTTGATTCAATGGTACTAATATGTCCTGTGTACTTTATCTTGACTTTGACGCGAGTCAGTGGTACTAATATGTCCAGTGTACTTTGTCTTGACTTTGACGCATGTCAATGGTACTAATATGTCCAGTGTATCTTGTGTCCCCAGACATGCCACACTAACAAAGAGCCATGCCGCTCGGTCTTCACCTATGTTTACTACAACGGCACATCAGAGTCAGCACCTCTGGACTCCTGCTCATGCCAGAGCAGACAGTGTCACACGGCATGGAGAAGACCAAACTACATGATTCGAGTCAGGATGTTCTCTGATGGTAGGTTGGCATCAACCTCCTCGAGCAGTTTTTATTAATATTCCCAAGTATTTAATGAAAAGATTGTTTAATAGATGCGGGACGGAGTGAGTAACCAATGATGGTTCAAAGGGGTTTCAGTTTGGCTATTTTCTCATTCACTGCTTTTGGCAGAAGTCCTTCCCTTTTCGTAAAGTATTTAAAAGGCTTGTGGTTCTCTGTATGTTGGTACTGGATAATAACAAACACTATTCGATGGAAATGAGAGGAATTTCTGAGAAGCAGTTCCCCCCCCCCTCCACGTAGATGGTGTATCCAAAGGAACGGCAAGTTCCGATACAGTTTGGGATCAGCGGCATCCCAGACTCTTCCATGGTGTAGCACTGCTTGCTGCTAGCTGCCTAATGATCGCCGGCTACTGATTTTTTTCTCAGAGTTGACTTCCGAAGACCTTTCCATGTTTGGGTATAGCAGTAAATCAGCATATGTTTCAATTCATAGTTTTCCTTGTTAATACAAAGGTTCGCAAAAAAACAATATTAAAAATCAACAAGTCTGATACATGATAGATTTATTCCATCTGCTGGTCAATTCGCTCAATCGTGTTGCGTTCGTAGAGCAGTTGTTGACTGTAAAAATTTTTGAATTGTTAAAGAAATATATAATTTTTTAAACTTTAAAAGATTTGTTAATTCACATCTATATATTTCTTAATTGTGTATAAGTTAATTGTCTCAAAATTCTATTTCGCACTGACATATCCGGACACCTAAAGGGCCCCAAGAGCTCAGGGCCTTTGCAAGTTTAAATCCAGTCCTGTTAATATTTGGTTCAAACAAGACCTAGCAGAAACTCCTAAGCGTTCTTATTGTCTATTTCAGTGTCGTATATGACGGCAAACTTCATGTTTTGTGAGAGACTGTACAGCAACTTGCCAACGTGTCAACAAGGTTCAATCGTAAGTCTAAATGCGTTGTCATTTATTTAATTTGTTATATAGGAAGTTACAAGTAAAAAAAATCAAAGACTTTTGATTAGATCTAGATTTAGCGTTATGAAAATGTTTACAAAGGAAATTTTCATCCTAACTGTCTAAGCAGACATTTATTCGACTCTCTGTTTATTGACTTTATTGCTACTCCAAGACGGCTGCGTTTTTTCCACTTAGGCCTATATACGTTTTTTTTTTAATAAAACCACCTCTTTTTTCAACTATCCCAACTATTCCATCTTATTATAGTGTTATATCATGGCATTGTCCAAATCGGTTATTACGAGCAGATCATCCGTGCAGCTAATGTCTTGGAAAGTGATGGCAGCTCTCCCAGCATGATCCCAGCGCCATAACTTTCTACATTCTGAACTTTAGAGATTAGAACCGTATTTTCGAGCCAGTTCCAAATGTAGACAACTAGTTTAATGAATGTACACAACTTGTTTAATGAATGTACACAACTAGTTTAATGAGTGTACACAACTAGTTTAATGAATGTACACAACTAGTTTAATGAATGTACACAACTAGTTTAATGAATGTACACAACTAGTTTAATGAGTGTACACAACTAGTTTAATGAATGTACACAACTAGTTTAATGAATGGTGATCTGCCGCATTACGAGCTACAATGGTTGGAGTTTCAGGTGTCAAAGAACATTTAATTGCTCTTTTGCAAGATACATTTCTTGAAGATAGATTTATCTGTATGTATGCTTCTTGGCATGTGAATGAGAAAGAGAGAGAGAGAGGGGGAAAGAGAGAGAGAGAAAGAGCGAGAGAGAGAGAGCAAGAGAGAGAGAGAGCTTTTATTATACAATAGTTCTTATATAGGTATTACGCGTAGGACGTAATCATCTTCTTTTTTGAAGTAACGTCTGTAATATATAAGATAAGATAAGATGAGATAAGCCTGGAAAACATTTGAAATCTTTTGCTCACTTATGCACCTTTTCTTCCCTCACACACAGGGCTTGGTGATGAAGGGCACTTTTTACCCAGAGCAGCTTCACTCCATTGCTTGCAAGTGTCCTGATAGCAGCACGCCATTGTTCTATAAACGAAGTTACCATGGTGATGACCACATGCAATATTTTGAGTACATCTGTGATAGTCACAAGGTAATGGTAGCCAGGAGTTACTGACCAACAACTAAAATACCCCCCCCCTGCCCAGGTTTCGTCTTATACAACGTTAGAGGGAAATTTGGAAAAACAATTAATTGTATCAAATATTGTCTTTCTGGGAGTTACTACCTATCAACCTACCTACCTATATATATATAGGGCTTTTTGTGACGGTACGCACCGGTACGGCGTACCGGCACCTTTTTCAATTTGGGGAAAAAATATTACTTTTCTTGTACTTTAACGTTTATTATTAATTTAAAAGTTAGAGGCAATCCAGAACTGAGTACCGGCACCTAATCATTGAGTACCGGCACCTAATCATTGAGTACCGGCACCACCCAAGCCCCCACTGTATGTCTAGGTTGGTATGTGACCACGTTCAACAACAAAAAGGTAGCCCCCCCCCCCCTTTCCAGAAATTGGGGGGGGGGGGGGGGGGTCAGAGATGTACTGCTCACCTGTAAACAATTAGAGCTAATTGGGCTCAGAGGCGTCCTAAAATAGTTCAAAATCCCAGTCTTCATCGGATTTGTACTTGCTTAGGTAACCATTAGGTCACCTTTTAAGTCGGTCTTAATGTTTTAAAATATGTTTTTGATTACAATAACATTGAGTATAGACAAACATATAGATCTCTTTTCTGCGTATTTTATTTGTACAAATAAAGTCAAATTTCAACATAAAACACACCAAAAGTCTTAGAAAACTTATTGTTCATTTCACAATTCGCTAAAACATGAGAGGACGTAATAAATAATTTGTTTCTTTGTTCAGGCATTTTGTACAGGTGTGGATTCCCAGTGCGTATCGACATCTAATGGAGAAAACAGGTACCACTGTGAATGCCCGTCAGATCTTACATGCAAAGTAGATCCTGATCGCATAGGTCGGTGCCAATGAATTTCCTAAAAGGCGAACTAACTAGAGACAGACATCATTTTTCTTCATTGTTTCGCTTTTTTTTCTCATTATCTATATTTTTATTTATTTGATTGTCATGGGAAAACCTAAGAATTAGTGTTTATTTTGTATATATAGATTGTTTAATAGTTCAATATTTGTGTATTATTTGCCATAATTATTCAAAAAAAATAAATAAATTTATTACCCCAATTTTATGTTTACATTTATTGATTCCTGACAATTTATAATTAATTATTTTACAATGAAATATAACCTCTCTCTCTCTCTCTCTCTGTCTTTCTCTCTCTTTGTCTGTCTCTCTCTCTCTGTCTTTCTCTGTCTCTCGGTCTGTCTCTGTCTCTGTGTCTCTTCACATGCACTAAGTAGGTCATTTCTAGGGAAATTGGATTTCCATAGCAGTCTTCGAAGTATCCGATGTACAAACTACACAAGTATTGATGATGTCAAAAAAGATAATGGTTTGTGTGCATTTGTTAGCGTTGCACAAAGTAATTTTTATTATCAAGTCGGCAACACAGCTATCTTTCAATACGGCGTCTTTGTATTCCAGTAGAGCTACATCACCCTCACATTCAGTGACGTAGCTAGGGTGGGGGGAGAATTGGAAAATCCCCCCCCCCCCCCCGGTCCTCCACTTGAGAGGGGACCCCTAATGATTGTTTTTTTACATTAAAAAATTAATATTACGCAAAGTGCGTCAAGACCCCTGCTCACATTTCTTCTTATAGCTTTCCTTTTGTATAAAGCTTATATCCATTCACTCTGTCAGTCTATCTGTCTGTCTGGTAAAAAGTTTGCACACATTATTTCTTCGTCAACCAATATCGGATCAAGCTGAAATTTCGCACAACTATTTCTTTTACCTAAAAAATACAAGGTTAAATTAAAAAAAAACAAGCAAACAATTAGTTAATTTTCTATTGGTAATAAATTATTTTGTTTGGTATCTCGAACAAGGGAAAGACATTGTAATTGACTGAAGTGGTGGTATAAGCTGAATTAGTCCCCTTTAAAGGTCGTCGTCTTTTTCTTAGTGAATACAAACCTGAAAAATAGGTCGAGACTCTAGAAACAATAGGTAACTAAATAATCTTCCATGTTCATAAGCTCTTAACTAGCAGAGTGGTTACCGTGTTGGCTTGAGAAGCCTTAGAAGGCTTGAGCCATGAGTTCAAAATTAGGTCATTCCCCTTTATCTTTTCTTTTGTATATGTATAACTACTTTGTGTATTGTTAGTCTCTAGATCTAGTACACATTGAATGACATGGCTGATCTAAACTCATGGATGCAAGTACGTGTAATATAGGCTTTATGTGTGTGTGTGTGTGTGTGTTTTTAAAGTTTTTTTTTTTTTTTGCTCTTAATGTATTTTTTCTCTTACTGTATGTATTGCTTAAAGCAGTTCATTGTGTTTCACGTCATGTATAAACATTTCTAACGGATAGCATTCTTAAAATGTAAAAAAGAAGTGTTGACATATTGCGATTGGGGGGGGGGGGGGGGGGGGGGGTAAAGCAAATTCTCACAATCCGCTTAAATTGTGAACTTATTAGCATTGAAAACTCTACACTCCAACTCTTTGGTTTCTAGCACAAAGTTGGCTAATTTGTATCAACCTAATTTAGTTGGCAACAGGGATCCTTCTTTGTGTTCGTTCCTGACAATGTTGAGTTGGTTGACACATCTCTCCCAGTCTTTCTCTGAGTATTTCCCTTACGTTCTCCTTGAGGTTTCCGTTACAACTCCCCAGCATGTCGCCGTATCGCGTCCTCTATGTTACTGTTTCCCTTACAACTCCCCAGCATGTCGCCGTATCGCGTCCTCTAGGTTACTGTTTCCCTTACAACTCCCCAGCATGTCGCCGCATCGCGTCCTCTAGGTTACTGTTTCCCTTACAACTCCCCAGCATGTCGCCGTATCGCGTCCTCTATGTTACTGTATCTCATTGTGAACCCGCCTTAACAAATGTAAGCTAATTGTTGTTGTTTTTTTTTTTTGTTTATTTGCACATTTATAAAACTTTGTGCTGGATCGTTTGTTTGCAGTTCTTGTATCATGTGGGGAGGGGGGGGGAGAGAGAGCCTACTAGCATTGTTGCTTACCGTTAATTTTTTTATATTTGCTTTTTCAATTTTTTTTATTTTAATAAATTTAATTGTTTTTCTTAATTTTTATTCTTTATTTTTACTCCTTTTTAAAATTGTGTTGTACCATCGTTACATATTTCTTAAAATTCTTTTATCCTAAACGTTGATACCAAAAAAAAATATTCTGAGCTTCACATGTTAATTCTCCTGGCGACAGCGACGCAATATCTCGCATCACAGAAAAGAGAGAAGGTCGAGCAAAAAAGAAAAAAAAAAGGTTTAACCATCCATGGTTTAACTAGTAGAAGGAGGAACTGAAGTGTGAGAGCCGTTGAGGCCAGGGGCGAACTGGCTATATGGGCCACCGAAATGTCCGCATCGATGCCACAATGGCATAGGCCTACATCAAATTGTTAAAGATCTTATAATATTCTCTTATTAAAAGGCCCTCTGAGCGTCTTGTTTAAAAACAAATCTTTCACAGACTCTACAAAGTAGAATACCATTTTAATTTAAACATTTTCTAAAATAAGGTAATGTAATAGCCTTCATTCAAAGACAGTGCTACTAGTAGGCTTCATCCTTTTATGGCCTAATTACTTAGCGATTAAAAAGCCACATAAGGCCTATATTTCTTATATAGTTATAAAGTTCACTGAATGCATGCATATCGATACATTATTAAGCTTAACATAATGATTTTGATGATGAAATGGATGCCCATCATATGATATAGAAACAGAAACAGATGACCTTTATATCATCTGCAAGGGGAACTTTAGTACTTTGTTTTTACATATGATATAGAATTTGTGGGCCGGATTGTATAGAAATGCCCGAGCCAATTTTGACATCCAGTCCGCCCCTGGTTGAGGCAGATCGCTTGTAGCCTAATCACCCACTTGACCAGCAAGACGTTGTGCAAACAAAAGACGTCATCAGAAAGGTGGTACGTCACTCGGGAGAAATAATTCATGTTTAGACGTCAGATAGGCCTTAGCAAGATGGTTGTCTAGTTCTCTAGATAGTGATACGTCGCGAGCTTTTCATGTAAGTAACGGGGTCGGCAACATTTAGGAAGTGGCTACTGACATCGATAACTACAATATAAATAATGGATACTATGAAAAAAAAATTAATGTCGCACTACACCAGTGGCGTAACTAGGTATTTGCCATCATTTGGTGGCCCGGGGGGGGGGCTTGATCTCTGTGGGGCCCCTGCATTTTGCGTAATATTTAATATTTAATGTAAAAACAATTTTGAACACTCGTTTCACCTCCCCCCCCCCCTCAAGTGGGGGCCCGGGGGGAATTTCAAATTCTCCTTTACCCTTCACTAGCTACGCCACTGCACCACACCCTCTTGTGGAACGTTCCGATATTAGGTCACATCGAAAATCACGTAATAAAACTCAACTCCCTGTAAAGTAACATGGCATGGAGATTCGATACAAAAAAATACTGCACGACAAACACACGCACACGGAAATCCTCTCACAGCACCGTGGTAAGTCCCATATGCTAGGACAAATTTGTACAAATACTCCTTCTTCCCTAGTGCTATTAGAGCATGGAATGGGTTGCCTGAGCTAGCCAGAAAAACCAGTGACTTGGCAGAATATAAGTCATTGGTTAATATGCATGATTAAATGCATGACGCTTAGGACGTAATCTTCTTTTTTGAAGTAACGACTAAATTATATATGATAAGTGAAAATCGGACTCGCGAAAGACGAAGGGACCACTGCATCTGTTAATATTAATAATTTAAATATATAATCGCGCTAACAAACACAAGATATAAGGTAGGCTGAATGCGCTGTGATAACAAACATAAGCATGATAGTTAAAATGACAAAGTGATCTCAACAATTTTTGTTATATTATTTGAATATTTTTTTTTGCTACATAAGAAATTTTCAGACTACCTCCCAATTGTAACAACTCGTAACAAATGTGCATACCTCATCCCTCCTTTAGCCTTTTATGTAATATCAGAACGTTCCCTTGTCAACTTGCTATGTAATACCAGAACGTTTCCTTTTCAACTTGTAATGTAATACCAGAACGTTCCCTTGTCAACTTGCTATGTAATACCAGAACGTTTCCTTTTCAACTTGATATGTAATACCAGAACGTTCCCTTGTCAACTCGTTGCTTTAAATTATTATGTGCGCGCCTACACGCGTCACTCTGCAGGACTAAAAACTCTCTTACTTTGAAGTCATTAATGGATGACTCGTAATCATAGACATATGCTCTCATTATAATTTTTCGTTGAAGATTTATGTGACAAATTTATGTTTGGGCCAGTGGCTTCAAAAGAGGGTGACACCCAAGTGGGAAAATTCCCTTTTTTAATAGCAGACAATTTTTTAAAAAATAATTGTCAGTAGCGAGATACCTGAATACGATTATGCACAATTAGTATTTAGATATATCTTACATATATTGTATTCTTCACATAATTTTGGTTAAAATTCCATCCCAATGTCCAAAACATTAGGCCATATTTTAAATCCCCAGCAAAACGTTAAATTCTACTTTCAGCTAAGTGACAGCTGCATGAAAATGAACAATGTTTTTTATTTCATAAAATGTTTCATCAAAGCAATAAAAAAAAGCAGCGATATATCAGGAGAAAATACGATAAACATGCATATATGTAACCCTGCCGGACAAAGTAAAACAAAGGACGTTTAGGCCACAACCCTATTTTTTCACCATTTTAGCTAAAAATAGCCCCCCAAATTTTTTTTTCTCAAACCTTTGATAAGATATAAAGAAAAAATATTTATTTTCTTTTTATTTGCATGCCTTCACAATAAAAAAGCATTTTTTAATATCAAAACATGTAATTTCTATTCGGGTGTTTAAGCTGTCCTTAAATCAGAAAGCCAACCAATATTCAGTGCTTATCCAATAACTAAATTTTTCAGACATTAGGTATTCCAAAAATATCTCGAAGCATATGAAGAATAGAAAAATGGAAAACATTGGCTGTCGTACTTATGATAACAAAAAATGGCTGGGAAGTCAAGTCACTGCTATTATTGACGTAAAGAAGAAACAAATATAGAACATCTTGAATACGTTTGTTCTCAATGGTTGATATCATATTGTATCTAGCAAAGCAGAATTTGGCATTTCGTGACCATTATGGCTGGCACTTCGTGACCATTATGGCTGGCACTTCGTGACCATTATGGCTGGCACTGAGTTTCTTATTGAATAAAGGACATTTCGTTGTGATGGTGAAATGTCCAAATAGACTCCAGCGTTATAACAAAATACACATCTGCGAGGTATAATGAGTAAAGGTAAAAGGTTTCACACAAAAATACTCTTTGCAAGTTTATAAATATTCATGTAATCGTGTACTCGATTTACGTATCAAATGTGGTTTTATTTATCTAAATTTTCCTTTTTTTTTTTTAGTGGATATGCTAGAAATGCAATGAGAAACAAGATAAACTTCAAATTAAAGAGTTAATATTGACAAAGTTGTGGGCAAGCAGAAGCCTTTAAACATGTTCTCTTTCATAAAAATGGCTCTTTATCGCAAAAAGTTATTGAGAGGGTCAAAAAAAAAAAGCAAAATATTTCAATAGAAAAAAGACGCGGCGGGCTCCATGTTCAAGAAAAGAAACAGAAGTCAATGCAGTGATCGTTTTTCTGCTGAGCTTCAACTTAAAGTAGAAGATGTCATTAAAGTAAACAATTAGAACCAACAATAGCTATAAGTCAGCAACCGATGAAGTCTTGTTCAAAACGTATCGCTGTCTTTAATGATTTACTAAAGGATAACATCGGAATAAAAATACTAAAACAGAAGACTACCATAGGCAGCAAAGGTTAATCTTTAAGAGACTGTGCAGTGCTTCATTTTTTTTTTTACACATGATATGCCATTGGGACTTCATTTAATCTTTACCAATCTTTTCACTACGCCTTCAACTGTTTCTTACCACCTGCGTGTCTGTGGCGTCATGTGAAAAATGTTTGTTAAAATTGAAATTAATTAAGAACTATTTGAAGTCAACAAAGGTAAAATCACGAGACTTAAACATTAAACAATTTTGTTAATTCTATAAACAACGAGCTGTTAAAATACAAAGAATACTCATTTTATAACTGTCTAACCACCAATGGTTGAAGATAGTTGGCTCATTATAGACTAGTATGATTAAACAAACAAACAAAAAAAGGATTTGTGTGTGTGTGACATCCACGCTAGTGACGCCACTGCTCGGGCATAATTTTAAGGCTTAAACTTCTGACTTAAATAGGACGAGTTCATTAGAATAATGCGTTTCTATTTCTTTAATGCTATGTAATGTTGGCCTGTGTAGTCTTTAGGTAGATCGAACATGCTCTACTATTATTTTGTTCCAAGTTATTTGCATGTCCACTCTAGTTCCTCACGGTTGTTGGCCTCCTTCAGTCGTAAAAAGAATATGGTTCATCCCATAGAACACTGTGGAGACCTATTCTCTAGAGACACTGGAGCCCTATTCTCTAGAGACACCGTGGAGCCCTATTCTCTAGAGACACTGGAGACCTATTCTCTAGAGACACCGTGGAGCCCTATTCTCTAGAGACACCGTGGAGCCCTATTCTCTAGAGACTCCGAGGAGCCCTATTCCCTAGAGACACTGTGGAGCCCTATTCTCTAGAGACGACACTGGAGCAGTATTCTCTAGAGACACCGTGGAGCCCTATTCTCTTGAGACACCGTGGAGCCCTATTCTCTAGAGACACTGTGGAGCCCTGTTCTCTAGAGACACTGTGGAGTCCTAT